TGACATGGAAGGTTGTTGTTGAGGATAGTGGCAAAGGAAATCCTGCATCCCTAATGGCCACTAGGACTCGATATTCAGAGATAAGTTCTCGATCAATAGCCCTTTTGGTAATTAAAACTCCATCGGGAGTGAGTGCAAAAGCACTTCCTGCTGATGGATTTGGTAACCAATAGGTGAAAGGACCTTGATTTGGTGGTAAATCAGAATCAGATGCATTTAATCTTGCAACTATGGTGCCTTCTGGTTGATTTTCCATGACTTGACCCTCAGTTGATGTGAGTTTGGGGGCATTGTCATTAATATCACCTACAGTCACAACGACATTAGCTGTCCCAGTGGCTGGTGGAGAGCCATTATCACTGGCAGTAACTGTCAGATTATAAATTGGCCAGAGTTCCCTGTCAAGTGCAGAGTTAACTGAAATAACACCACTGAGTGGATCAATGGAGAAAGAAAAGTTTGTGTTTCCACTTTCAATTCTATAGAAGAATCGATTCCACTCCAACACAGAGTCCTGATCCAGAGCACTCACAGTTAGCACATATATCCCAGTTGGACTGTCTTCTGTAATATTTGCTTCGTATTGAATGGATGAAAATACAGGTGCATCATTGGTATCAATCACACCAATGTGGACCAAAGTCTCATCTACATCCATGCCCATAATGACACCAGAGTTCTTTGCCAAAACTTTTAAATCAATGCGACTGTTCCCTTGCTTCCTCAGATTGCTTCTTGTATATATTTCTCCAGAGAATTGATCAATGTAAAACCCTGTGTTTATGCTGTGGCCAAACATCAAATAAAAAACCTGACCTTTTGGCCCTCGGTCAAAGTCAATAGCTGTCACTTTCCCCATCAGTGTTCCAATAGGAACATTTTTATAGACTGAAAAGTTATATTCTCTCCTCCTGAACGTTGGGAAGAACTCATTAACATCTGAGATTTGGATGACAACATGTGCCAAGCCAAATAAGTTGTGTCCACCAACATTTGAAGCTTTAATTGTTATATCGAAACTCTGCTCTCGCTCATAATCAAAGACAGTCAAAGAGGTAATAGTGCCATTTCTTGAATCGATTGCGAACTTGTCAACGTCACCTGCTATAAGAGAATAGAATACTTGCGCATTTGAACCGGAGTCAGCATCAGTGGCCATCACCTCAAGAATAGTTGTTCCTATTTCTGAGTTTTCAGGCAATGATGTGATATATTCTGACGATGAAAAGACTGGAGGGTTGTCATTTACATCGGAAATTATTACTGTTACATTCAGAGTGCCAGTTTTTGACACCCAGCCACCATCTTTGGCTTTAATTTGGAGTTTTAAAATGCTTTCGATCTCAAAGTCAAGCTCTCCAATAAGCGTCAGCAGCCCAGAGATTTCACCAACAGACAGTGGTAAGTCTTGGTTTTCAGTGCTGATAAAGTACTTGACAGCACCATTGGAACCGTAATCCTTATCTTCTGCTTGAATTTTCCCTATCACCGATCCTATAGGCAAATCTTCAGGAACAGTGAAAGTCATATCTTGTTCTCTGAAACTGGGAGTAAAATGATTCCTACCAGTTATTTCAAAGATTACTTCGGTTTGTGATGTTAAAGGGGGAAAGCCCCCATCTTTGGCGATAACTAACAAAGTGAGAAAAAGATGTTCACTCCCCGACAAAGTTCGGTTCAGGAATACCTTTCCACTTCCTGCTTCAATCCTGAAGAAATCGGACGCATTCCCACCATAAAAATCATACTCAATAGCACCACTATTAACATCCAGATCTGTTGCTGTAAGCTGGACTACTTCAGTTCCCACAGACAAGTGATACGGAATAGCAACCAGGGGCTGTACAGGTAAAAACATGGGTGGGTGGTGGTTGTATTGCTCCAGTCTGACTGTGACCGTGGTGTTACTGAACAGTGGGACATCGCCACAGTCAAAAGCAAAGACTGTAAAACGATAGACTTTAAAAGCAGTATTGTGTAAACGGAGCGGTTTCTTTGTATATATTTCTCCAGATGAAGCATTCACCCAAAATTCCTCATTTGGAGGTTCAACAACATAGAAAAGCTCACTGTTCTGCCCAGCGTCGGCATCTGTGGCAAGAACCTGCAAAACAAACGTGTCTTTTTCTTGTGTTTCGGGGAGGACAGCTGCATAAAGAGGGTGGGAAAATACTGGTCTATTGTCATTTACATCTGAAACAAAGACAGTGACGTCAGTGCTTACACTCCATGCTGAATCGTTGGCACATACTTTGAGGACAAAGTGATCTTGTGCCTCCCTATCTAGAGGCCCTTGGACAGTGATATAGCCAGTGGTGAAGTCAATATCAAAAACAATGTTATCTCTTTCGTAAAGTATGTAATAGTTAACTGCTGCATTAGCATTAGTATCCTCATCGGTTGAGGTGACTTTTATAATTGTGTGTCCAAATGGAGCATCTTCTGGTACATTTGCATAAAAGATCTGTGAGAATCGAGGTGCGTTATCGTTTCTATCTTTAACAGTCACGATGACAGTCGCTGTGTCCTTATGAATTGGATTGTTGGGTTCAGAAGCTTCAACTGTCAAATTGAAAACTGCAACAGTTTCTCTGTCTAAACTTACAGTGGTGCTCAGAAGACCATTTTCAGGATCCAGTGTAAAAAGGTTGTCATTGTTTCCCTCAGTTAGTCTGTACCGCACTGTGCTGTAATCGGGAGAATCTGCATCAATTGCCAGCACCTCACAAAACCCAGATGGTGGGGAATTCTCAAATATTTCACACCTATATTCCGCTTGAGTGAACTTTGGGGAATTATCATTTACATCAGTGATATTTAGGTGAATTTCTGAAAATGATGAGAAAGGAGGTAAGCCAGAATCTCTGGCCTCTATTAACAAAGAAAACTCCTTTATGTTTTCATAATCCAGAGGGTTCTCCACGGTCAACGTCCCAAGTAATTGGTCCACATGAAACATGTCCTCCAAGTTTCCAGAAGCAAGATAGAAAGAGACGTTTTCAGCCCTAATGCTTGCCGCAGAGACCACCGCTACCAGGGTTCCCACGGGTTCATCCTCAGCCAGAGAATAACTGAGAACATCCATTTTCATCTCAGGAAAGTCCGAGATGTTCTGAAACCTGATGCTGATGGTGGTTATGTCAAATTTAGGAATTTCCGCAGCATCCTCCACATGCACATTGATTATCATATCGTGGGAGTTCCTCAGAACACCTGAAGCGAAGACAGTGCCGGAGTGAGGATCGATGTAAAACAGATCAGAAAGTTGTCCATATAATGAGTAACGCAGCTCTGCATTCATGTCAGCATCGTCATCTGTTGCCCTCACTGCACAAACAACTGAGCCTATGAAAACACAAAAAGACAACAACTGAAAAAAACCCTATCAGACCCAACTACATATATGTACGTGTTCTGTGAGTGGGAAATAATATTCCTCACCTGAGGCCAGCTCAGTAGGCACGTAAGCTACATAGGGGCTGTTCGAAAACCGAGGCCAGTTGTCATTTATATCTCCAATGAGCACAGTCACGAGCACAGAGCTTGAAAGAGGCTGTGTGGGATGCTGATCGCTTGCAGTCACTGTGAGTCTGTAAATGCTGACTGTCTCCCTGTCTAAGACATCTACTGTAAACAGCTCCCCAGTTGTTGCTTCAATGGCAAATGGTGCATCGAGGTTTTCTATGAAAAACCTAAATGGAAAAAAATAATGACTACCTTAGTATTCAAATGTGAAATTAACTAATTGTATTATAAATGTTTTTCAAGAGAATGCATAGAGGAAATAGTGCCGGCATGAAATTGTGTTTTTTTTTGTTTTGCTACAAACACACAAGGCACAAGACTAATGGCTAATAGCACCAAACATTTTCCTAAAATGTAAAGTGATAAAGTGATAAAGTGATTTGTCCTTTTACCTAATTTCCCCACTCACACCCTCATCAGCATCAGATGCAGTTATGATGGCAAACACTGTTCCAACAGAACTGTCCTCAGCCACAATGGTGTTGTAGACTTCTTTAGGAAACTGGGGATAGTTGTCATTGACATCATTCACAATGACTTGAAGATTCAGAGTACCAGTCAGAGGTGGCATGCCTTCAAATCACAAGGGAAATTCATCAACAAAATTTAGGAAAAAAAAGATTTTGTGTGCATTATCTACATATCAAATCACTTTTTGTTTCTGCTTAAATTGGACCTTAGTTACCTGAATCAACAGCTGTGATGGTGATAAGATACATCGATTGCTTCTCTTTGTCTAAGGTCTGTAAAATCTGAAACATGCCATCAGGAGAGATGGAAAATACACCATCATTATGACCTTTTTCCATGAAATAGGTGAGCTGACTATTGATTCCTAAATCCTCATCCATGGCTGAGAGCTGCACAAAAAGACAAAAGAAGAATTAACATAAACCCTTTGTGGTAATGTCAGACAATGTGAACTCTACAGTTCTAGAGGTTTAGCAGCACCTGATGTATTAGCTGAGACGGTTCCTCTTCATTCTCCATGACATGAATGACCAACGTTTCAGGAGAAAAACGGGGTGCTGAGTCATTGATGTCCAGCACTATGATGCTGACGGTCGCTGTGGCTGATCGCTGTCTGAGCCCTTGATCAAGAGCAGTCATTATTAAGGTGTAGTTTGCGATCGCCTCTCTGTCAAGTCGCTCCATAACCATCACAACACCTCTGACCGAGTCCACCACAAATGGACTTGCTGGCGTTAGCTCGTAGCGCACTTGACCGTTTGAGCCGATGTCTTGATCATGAGCCTGGACCTGAAACAAGCTGGATCCTAAGGAAATATCTTCTCTGACTGACATGCTGTAGTTACTTCTTGAAAACTCAGGGTTGTTGTCATTGACGTCATCCACGTGCACCGTGACAGTCATTGTTGTCTCCAACGGGGGCGAGCCTCGATCAGTAGCTGTCACAGAGAACGTCAGAGTATCTGACACTTCTCTGTCCAGCATCATCTCCAGGTGTATTTGCCCACTGGTGCTGTTGACCCTGAACGTTCCACCAGCAGTGTCATTTAGATAATACAGAACTTCTCCATTGGAATCCGTGTCTTCATCCTTGGCTTGAACAGTCATAACAACAGAATGCAACCGAGTATCCTCTGGTACACGAACAGTACCAGCAGATATGAACAACGGGGCGTTGTCATTGACATCTTCAACGGCTACAAAAAGCCGTGCTGTACTGCTGAGCTGTAGAGACGCAGGCTGGACACAGTCCCTGGCCATTAGGGTCAGATTGTAGGAGGCTTGGTTCTCTCTGTCCAACTCTTTGTTCAAACACACACTACCTGTTGAGTGGATGTAGAACGCGCCAGCTTTATCACCACTCACCACACTCAGCTTGAGTTTCTGATTTTCTCCTGACAGAGAGGAAAAGAGAAAGCAAAGCTTATAACAAATGATGGGATGAACTTATGATGAAGTTTGTCTGTAATTTGAGAGTATTCCTCTATCATATGTAAGATCATGCTTTCTGTGATAAAATTTGAATAAATGATATGTCTCAGAACCATGTTACAGGCCAGTTTCCTCTTAAATGTACCGATCATGAGATGTAGCACAACCTTCTCTAATATTAAGGTATTGTACGAGCCCTGGTTTTATATTTAGTCTGTTTTCTATCATGATATATTTAATATCAGCTTGAAGGTTTGTTGTGACTGAAGCAGATCAGCTTTAATTTGGAGTCACACAGCCCTCCCTTCACTGTCCTCAGTGAAATTCTGGTTGCTGATGTGTATTTTTTTGCACTTACCATCATCTTTATCTGACACATTCAGCGACAGGAAACAAGACCCAGCATGCATGTTCTCCGGCACAGAAGCAGAGTAGTCGTCCTGACTGAAAGCGGGGGGGTTGTCGTTCACATCCAGCACGTTGAAGTACACCCTGACACCTGACACCTGTGCTTCCCCCTGCTGTACCTCCACTGTGATAATGTAGAATCTTTGTGTTTCAAAATCCAGGCTGCGGGATAATAGGAACTCCCCCGAGAAAGGGCTCAGGAGGAATAGGTTCTCCCCGTCGTCTTCCTGAACTGAGTATGTGATAGGCGTGGGACTCTCAAACAGGGTTTCCACTTTTCCCACAATTGTACCTGTCAACACAGTGGAAAGTGCATCACAATCTGGTGATCTAACAACCATGGGGGGGAGAAGAAAAACTCACGGGAAAAACTCAAATTGTTTCACCTGTCCTAAAGGCAAAAAAGTTGTACAAAGCGTGAAAAAAAATTGTATATTATTTTTTCTCTTATAGAGCAAAAGACTCACCTGGTAATGTGTCCTCTTTTACTTGAAATGAATACACAGTTTTGGAGAAAGCCATCTGTTGTTGCCATCTGTTTTGTGAATGTAAGCCATGCTTGCGCTCAGCATCAGCAGATGTATAATACCAGGAGGGAAGCATATGCTGCCCTACAACAATATCTGCAAGCTCCCCCTCAATACTGACGTTCACTGATTTTACAGATAAAGCACCAGGAATGGACAAAGTATCAAAAACCTGGGGAAAGAAGAGACGTTTGAAGAGGAATTTTGTTTTCACATTAAAGATCAAAATGCACTTTATTGTTAACAGGCATTTATCACAGCATATGAACTGTAAGACACACTTACCATAACAAGTAACACCATAATCACGTGTTTCCTCAGCTGTCCCGATGAATCCATTATAAAAGTGCTTCTCTCTTAGGCATGATGGCAAAATCAAGTCAGAGAGATCCCCTGCAGAATAAAAAGGACGTGGGCTTAAAGAGATCCTGGAAAACCACACAGTGTTACCTCCAGAGGAAACTTTGAAATGGAAAACTATCAAAGCTGTAACCATAGAGACCACTCAATCTTCTCAGCTTGTAATCCTGACTGGCACGCCTCTTTGACATCGCTCTATGCAAATCCCGCTGTGAAAAAAAGTCTTCTTATACCTCCAGATATTGATATTAAACGTTTATTGTTGTAGAATCTTTAAGAGAAGACTCACCACATAATCTAAATACATTTGTCCTGTTACATTGTTCATGATATCCTCTTCAACCCTGATTTGCTGATTCAGACTGTTATATCTTCTCTCTGAACTTCTCTGTTGAGACTAAACAGTGACCACTCTTTGAACACTTGGCCACAGTTTGGTCGTTCTTTGCTTTAATCTGATGGAGAATTCATTCAGACTCCATGGCAGACATCCAATGAGAGAAAGGACAGAAAATGGCAGGGGGGTTGGATTACACACTAAATAACAGCTCTCAAAATAGAGTTGACAATCAAATGAAAACAGAAATTATACTGTTAGAGAACCATCGTAACTACCATTGTAAATTAACAGTGTCTATATGGGCATGATTAGTTGTAGTTTTATTTGATTTTTGCTGTGAAGAATCAGTCCTTATAATCATGAACTGAACTGCAGGACCACCAGGGCTGTTTCTGAAAAAACTTTTGAAAAAAGCAGTTAAGAGTGCAATTCTAGAAAGAGAAGTCCAGTGAATGAACACATAGCCCTCTTTAAGTGACCACATGGTTTTCTGTGTCTCAGAGGGGGAACTCTAGACCGGTCAGGGATCACAGAAGGTTGCCGTCTTGACTTGAAAGGAAGAGGAGAGCTTACCAGAAACATTCCCCGTAACTCTTTACATAATATAGATGTTTTTAATTCTGTCAAACTGTATTTTCTCTGCATGCCTAACATTCAGTCTAGAGCATGTGTAGGTTTGGTTTTTACCCTGTAGAATAAACAATGGCGTTTGTTCATGTTTATAAAAAAAACATTTTTACTCATTGCACTTTCAATTACTTTTTAAGTTTATTTCTTTTAATGCACCAGCATAGATGAGTCATCTGAACAATCTTCTGCTTGAATTACTTGTAGGTCAGGTAATCACATTTGGAGAGAGGGTACATGGATGTCTGACAAGTGCCTAAACATCTTGAATTGGGATGTGTGCACATGACTGACTTACCAAACTGCATTTACCTGGATTACCTGCAGTGGGTCATCATTGTAGTGCCATCTCCTGGATTCTAAATTCTTCAGCTGCATAAATTTATTAAGATGTTCCTGTCTGTCTTTTCCTTCTAAGGAGAGAGTTTGTTTCTTTAGCTTATCACTAAAAGCTGTTGCACACACTAATGAAGCAATATATTGTGGCAAAACTCAGTGGCCAATTCCCTCTTCTGTTCATGAGATTATTGCAATAGCACACAACACGTGAAATACATAAGAGGAAAAAGGGGTTGTGACATATTATCCATATCTGAATACTAATAAGTTTCGCTTTTCATAACTAAATAAAATGCAGGTCGCAACATTATTCTGACTCACTCATGTGTTCATCAGGTAGAATACATGAAGCTTCTCAAGCCTCTGCTAGCCATGTGTTGAAACTCACATGCTGGGTGGCTTAAATGGTCTAATAACCACTTGGTGATGTTGAGAAATGAAAAAGAAGAATGCACATATTAAAAAAAACAAAAACAAAAAAAACTTTATTGAGGACATTCTTGAATGTCAACAGCTGCATTTGATATTAGAGTGGTATTCAAAGAACACTTAAAAAGACAGTGGGACAGCACATAAAAATATTGTTTTCAAAATAAAAAATACAATACCAACCCAGAAATCTCATTTTTGAGTGGCGACACCAAAATTTAGACTAATTACTTCCATACTGATTTGAATTCCTCCTAAATAGTTTAATAATATGGCAGGGGTGAGGAACTAACACTAGAAAAACCTCAAACTTATGATATGTAGTGTTAACTTTACAAAAAGAAAAAGAGAGAATGACACTGTACATCTTAAAAACATTAAATATACACGTGATCTTGATCAGTCTGATTCAAGATGGTGAATTGAGTACAACAGGATTATAACGACATAAACAAAACTTCAGGTACTATCTCTCAGCAATCTACTCATCATCCTCATCATCATCATCTTCATCATCCTCATCTCCCTCTTCGTCGTCTTCATCATCATCATCAGCTGCAGCAGCTGATGCTGAATCCACTTTACCCTTTGTGCGGTAGGACACAATATCCTGTGGACAGTATGGCAGACATTTTCACTGCATTTATATTCTTGTGAAAAAACAAAACAGGTCAATAAAAAAAAGGAGCTAAAGATAAAAGATGATCCTAGTTTTTAAGCATGTCGGTTCACTCACCTTGTCATATTTCTCCTTCAGCTTGGCTGCCTTCTTCTCATATGGCTGCTTCTCTTCTCCAGACAATCTGTTCCACATCTCTCCAAGCTTCTTTGCCGTGTCCCCAATGGAAAGTCCAGGGTGATCACCTTTTATCTTGGGGCGAAAGTCTGCACAAAAGATAAAAAATGCAGACCTGTGGGTGGGAAAAAAAAAATGTTACTGTATAGACCATCATTACAAACTTAGCACCTATGAAAAAATCTAAATAACCTAAAGTCGTTCGAATAACTGAATGCATTACGTACGGTGGTCTCTTCGGGGCATTGGGGTCCTTGAATCGCTTCTTCTTCTGTCCTTTGGGGGGTTCATAATTCCTCATTTCCCCTTCGTAACGCACCTTGTCTTGTTTGGCCAGATCTTCAAATTTGCCTTTCTCTTTTGGTGACATTGTCTTTGGGGGGGAAAAAAGTTATTTTTTTTAAAACAAAAGACATTATTGAAAGAACATATTAAAAGTAATTTGGGAAGGGGAAAAAATGTAAATGGTCAATAATATATATATATTACCTTCCATCGCTCAGAGCATTTCTTGGAGAACTCTGAAAAGTTGACAGAGGCATCTGGATGTTTCTTTTTATGCTCCTCTCTGCATGTTTGCACAAAGTATGCATATGAGGACATTTTCCCTCTTGGCTTTTTTGGATCCTTAACCATCTTGATCACTAAAAGAAAAAAAACAACAAAAAAAGTTTAAATATACATCTTCAGGTCTAGTCATGCAATAAGGATGAAAATATGCCAGTTCTCCATTGCAGACTGCCTCCTGCTTTGTCAGTCTTTTCTATTGTTTAAACAAGGAGGGGGGGAGGGTGTCGGGAGTAAATTATTATTCGTGGTGTGAGGAGGCCAGCGTGATGCTTCCATTCAGCAACACATTACTTCACCCACGCATTTTTTCTTGTAGTTTTTCGGCTTTATTATAATAACCGGATTAAAACAATGAGCTGGGTTATTTTCTCTCGACTTCCTATGCCAGGCTAGAGTGAGCCGGCCTGCTGTGGTACATTAACACATTAGCTTTAGCTTCCGCTAATGTTAGCTTGCTGTTATCCATTATGGCTCCGCTCCTGCTTTGTGTCCTTTCGCTGTTAGCATTAGCTTAGAGCTAACTTAGCATGCAACAGTGCCCACCTCCTGGGACCGTCATTAAAATGGCTGATTTGACTGCTAACAATGGTTGTCTTATCGGTTTCACGGACAGTCGTTGCTTCTAATCTACGAAATGGCATCACGTGGCACCTCAACAGTCTCCCTCGTTAATTTGTGGCTATTGCATAAAAGTTTTGGTGGAAAAAGCAACGATGTTGGGGAGATATGCTGCGATATGCTCTCGTCAACTGCCAGCTAACGTTAGCTCCATAACCAGCCAGCCACCGCTATCAGGCTAACAGCGGGACATTGACAAGTTAGCTCATCGGCTGGTTGCACATAAAATACTCATATGACGAAGTCAATTAAGTCGCAGGATAGAGGAGTTGCCATTTATTAGAGCTTTTTCCAAACTACGACTACTGTTAAGAGTAATGTAAACGTAACCAAGTTAGCGGGACATTTAACAGCTTGAAACTGGGTTAGCCTCTTATTCTGCTCCGTCATACAGCTCGAATCTACAACACTGATGCACATTATGGGGAAAATACTGCTGCCAAAGTCACTCATATGCACAAAACAGTATCCATTTTTTTCTTAGCGACAACATTTAGGATGCTTACCCTCTCGGTCAGCTGTACGACTCAAACAATGGGACGAAAAGCAGAGTCCGTGCGCGGTCTTTTGATTGAGAGGTCCCTCCTGTGTTTATCCCGTGTGTGGAGCTCCGGCTGTCGGACATTGGCTGCCGCCAACTCCTGGGAGCGTCTGATTGGACAGCTGAGCCTCGGTGCTGCTGCTTGTACGGTTGGTTGTCCAAAACACGGCGGAGATTTGGCGCGTAAGTTGAAGCTCGAGAGCGTGACA